AGGAAACCAGCAACATCCATTCATCCTAAAAAGAGGAAGGCAAACCCATCTCTGACGTGCAGAAGGAAGGCTGTACATCTGAAACCTAGGCTCACGGTGAGAAAAGGTGGCAAACACTGAAACAGGATGTCTGCAGTGAGTCAGAACCTGCACAGAGAGCCACGTGAGGTTAAGGATTCTCGAGCCTGCAGTAGTGTTCCAGTGTTTTGTTCTCCTTCTAACCAAATGCTACCACATGCTGCTGCTAACACCCTGAGCCATCTTCGAGAGCACCGCCTCATATCCCAATCTCCTTCCTCGACGTGCACATCCACAGGACCCAGTTTTGGAGGCTGGTCCACGATTCTGAATCTGGCACATAATCTCCTTGGTCTCACAACTGTGATCTGAGTCTTCCTCGTGCCATTGAAATGTATGAGGTCATGTCGCACCCCTGCCTAAAATCTTGCAGTGCCTTCCCGTGGCTTTTAGAAGAATACCCAAACTCCTTGCTATGCCTGACAGAGCCCTGCACTGGTGTGGCTCGTCCCCCTCTCTGGCCTCTTCCATGACCACCTCCCACACTCACGTGGACCAGCCACGCTGGCCATCCTCCTCTTCCTTGAACACACACACACACTTACTCTCATTTTGCTCTGGCTCCTCCTTCTGTCGGGAATGTGCTTCCCCTACCTGTTCTCCCTCTCAGGTCTCAGCAATGACGTTATCTCCTCGGCGATGTCTTCTCTGACCCCCGCTCTACAGAAGCCGCCTCCTTGTCACTCTCTCTCACATTCTTCATATTCTTTTGTTCATTTATTTATTTGCTCTCTCTCTCTCACTATAATATACACGTTCTGAGGACAGAGACCTTGTCTGTCTTGTTCTTCAGTGATGGAAACAATGCTTAGCAAATGTATTTGCAAAATGAAAGGATAAATATACACTTTGATCCTGGGAGAGGCATTAAGCATCAGTGAGAAGGTAACCTTTGGCGTCAAGCTGCCTGCCCTTGAATCCTCTTTCTGTCGCTTAAATCTGTATGTTCTTGGCCAGGTTACATAGCCTCTTTCTTTCAATTTTCTCACCTATTGAAAGAAGAAAATAACAGTATCTACTTTGTAGGGGTATTGTCAGATGGCTGATGTACTTAATGAAATGCCAGTATGCAGTTAGCACTCGAAAGTCATTGTGGTTTTTCTTGTGATATACCTGCCAAAGTTCGCGGCCCACAGCCATTTGATTTACTTGACATATTTACAAATCATACTGTAACCTCCACTTTCTGGTCTGACATGTAAAGAGCTCAGAAGAAGTCATTCCTATCCTCATGATAAGAAATAAAAACCGAACAAACTGAAAATCAACAACTCTTCCTAGATCCGTTGGAGAATTGAGGTCACAGGCAAACTCCTGCCCTGAAAACTAGAGAGACAAACAGGCAGTTACAGAGAATCACAGCCTACTGGACACAGAGGCCCAGGAGCAAAAGCCTGCAGCTGGCGCCAGGACGAATAGGACACTTTAAGCTATAACTGATGAACTACTGGAGGCTCGATTTGGACAAGCTTGAGAATTAAAAACTCCTAGAGGGCCCAGTCCTAGGGGGCTTCACATTTTCATGAATTTTACCTCTAGGAGCCCTACCAGGTTCTTGCCATGAACAGCTAAGAAAACTCCCCCTTGCTCTCCCAGAAGGAAAAGGAGAGAAGTAACCGTTTTTGAAATGCAAGCTCTGCACAGAGCTCTCATTCTCCTTAGCAAGATCTGTCCTCAAGAGAAACTATTAGTGGTTACCAGAGGGAAGAGGGGAAAGGAGAGGTAGAGGAATAAAGGTGGTCAATTATATGGTGACAGAAGGAAATTTAACTTCGGGTGGAGAACACACAATGCAATACACATATGATGATTACCGAACTGTACACTTGAAATCTATATGATTTTATTAACCAATGTTACCCCAATAATTTTAATTAAAAAAAAAAGAAAAATATTTTACCAGAGTCTAATCAAGTGGATTTTACCAAAGCCTGAGTAACTTGGGCTTTGGGAACAATGCTTAGCACATGTATTTGTAAAATGTATGTGCAAAATATTGATCTCAGACTCGCCAGAAGGCTGAGACCTAATTACAGGACTACAGAATGCTCCCCTTTTATCTCCATGTCAGTAGGGCTCCTGTATAATAACAGAGGATTTCAACGAAAAGAATCGAAGGCCTTAATCCCCATTTAAGAAGCAGTCTCTAGGAAAATACAAAGACAACAGCAGAGAGACATCTTTTCCGACTACCTCCATCTCCCCCTGCACAGTACACACACCCTCTACAGAAGAAAGAAAAAAGAGAGTTGCAAATATTTGTCTCAGTTTTAAGAAGATTGTTTTTGATGACTGAGATCTTATTTGCAGCATCTAGCAAAAGCTCTGCCGATCCTCAAATCGAGATAACTAAGCATGATTTGTTCATTTGGGCCAAAGGCACGACCATTCTGATGGAAGAGAGCAGAAGAGAACCCTTGAAACTATCTTTAAAAATCCCAGAGGACTTTGGAGGGAAAATAAATCAATGACTCTGCATTAAGTCAGGGCTGTAGGTCAATACCCTAGACTGGCAGATCACAGCACATTTTTTACTTTCCCAGGTGGTTCTCTTCCTACGGTTAAGTGGTCTGGATTGACTGCATTCTTTCCCTCTGACACAGTTATGCGTTGTATGGAAGTTGGCCCTATGCTGATTATTGTAGATACCTCTCACCTAGGTCTAAGTGACATTGTTATAAAACCTCAGACTCATGAAGCACCTGACATTTCCAGTGGGAAACTGTGGGAATTCTAATACCCTATTAGATGAAGGCGAGGACTGAGATTGTGTTTGTTAATCATTAAACTCACTGTGCTTAGCTCAGTGCCTGCCACATAGTAGGTGCTCAATAACTATTTGTTGGATGAATGAAAAAAAATCTGCCACAAATGTGGGCCTGGAAGAAGTATGTATAGTTCAAATTTGATGACTTCTAAAAATACTTTTTAAAACTATTAATTCATTTAACAATCATTGAGTGTTTTCTATATCATGGGCACTAAAATAAAAAAATGAATGAGATTGTGTGCCAGTTCTCATAAAGAAGAGAGGGAATGATATTCACTGAGTGCTTCTATAATAACATGGGCACTTTTTATTCATTATTTCATCCTCCCAACAACTGTGTGAGGTAAGTATTATTATCACCTCCCTTTGCAGATAAAGGAGCAGAAATTTGCACAAGGGCTCAAATATAGCAAAAGGCAGAGCCGAGAATTTATTGCAGGACCTGAATCTACAATGTACTTTCTCCCCAAAGTAAATCTGAAATCACAGTGTGATGTTCTGGTATGTGAGGTTTTGTTAAGGAAACTTAGGTCCTCAAAAATTGAGTTACAAACAAATAGTTTCACTAGGCTCTCAATTTCAAGTTATTTATTTTAGAAAAAAATTCCAATAACAGAAGTGCTTTAAAACTACATGAATGCATAATGGGAAGCTAAAAATAATAATCTGCTTAACAAAATAAATGGAAATTACCAAGTTAAGTTCAAAATAGCATCTAAGACCCAAGTCAATGAGTTTCTAAATTATCATTATAACTCATTGTTGTGATAAACAAAGCACAACACTGAACTAAGATGGCTGAAGTCAAAATAAAGTGCAGCACAGTTCACATTGCCAACGGTGACAAAACATGAAACCAAGAAGCTGCCAACTCCTCTATGCACAACAGCTTCTTCCCTAGGGCCCTGTTACTAATCCCCCACTGTGCTTGAATCATAACCAGAAGGTATTCAGAATATGAATTGTGTTACCTAAAAATCTATTGTGTTACATCCTATTTGCTTTATTGATACTCAAATGGTAGGAGGGAAGCCTGAAATAGGCATCTGAATTTGTATAAAAGAGCAACTTAGAGAAATGCACACAATTAGTCTGTCTTGTACGGGTGGGAGGCCCATTGTAGAGGTGGCCACATGATGTCTGAGGGTCACAAAGAGGCTCCTGAGTCTTTTCTCTCTCTGGACTCTAAAGCAGTTTTGGGAATCGCCATTTCTTCCCAATGGGTGAAAATACACAGTGCCTGGAATCATCTGCATTTATAAATGGGCAGAAACTTTGAAAACAAGTTGTTCTCATTTAGCCTGCCTGGATCAGATGAGGAATTGGAAAAGCCAAGATCCATGATTGAGCCAAAATTCTGGCAGTTCAGAAAGTGCCCAAGTGGTGGGAAATGATCTGGGACTGGAACAGTCCTGAAGGATGTGGTCCAATCCTAGTGTAATAATGATGTTCTCTTACATTTTTATAGCTCCTTGCAATTTTCAATGAATTCATAACACCTCTGGAGTGAAGTCATATTCATATTTTTATAGATAAAGATGTTGAAGATGAGTAAGTGATTCACAGCTAGCAACCATCAGAGTAAGATTCAAACACTGAGTCTTCTGACTCCATATTGAACAGATTTTCCACCACAAACTTATAGGGTGACTTCAGGAAAACGTTTTATAAGAGCAATAGCTTTGTATCAGATCTGTATTTGCCTACTCTAAATGTTCCATTCTCAGTCATATAATTTGGGTAAGTTCTGTAACTTCATTAAGCATTAATTTCCTCATCTGAGGACATATATAACACATAGCATGTAGGAGGATCAAAAGCAATATGTATATAGCATGTTTGGCATAGAACTTGGCCCTCATTAGAGCCAGAAGGATGTTGAGGGTTTCAGGGTGTACTAAGGGCATGAATTCTGGAGGGAGGAATCTCCTTTCTTCCTTTGTAGCTCAGCATGCTTTGGGCCACAAAATCCCCAGGTGACATTTTATAGTATGAAAAGTCACGAGGAGATACAACTTGGGACAGGCAGGAAGTGCTTGTGGTTTGAGCACTGAGCCTAGAATGAGTGTAGAGGAAAGACCATTCCACAGGGAGCCTGTCTGTGCCTCCCCCCACAGTGCCACCTAAGGCAGAGAGTGCCCTCCATCCCTACCTGGAAAGCCATGGAGTTGGCGGCAGCCAGAAATATCCTCAGAGGCAGCTTGGCCTTGTAGGACCTGTGGCTCCACAAGCGATGGGCACCAGCTGTCACACCCAGAGCAGTCAGGAGGAAGCAGAAGTAGGCTGCAAGACACAAGGGGAATGTCAACAGATGTCACAGTTTTTAAACATCTCCCATCCTTCTTTTCTCTCTTGAATAGGGACCTGTGTGAAATGGTGTCAGGGGAAGAATCTACAATATGAAGAATCAATAACTTGAGCAAATGCAGCCTTTTTATTGATTTGTAACTTTCCAATACCAGGCAGAAGCAGAGAGAACTTTCCTCAAGAAACTTTGACCTTCCAACATAATTTTTTCTCTATCAAACAAATCTTCTATTTGCTAATGTTTCTTGCTAGTCTTGATGCAAAGTTACAACCATATTCCTGTGCATTTATAATTCGGCCTTACACGTCCACTCTCAGTGGAGCTGCGCTTGAGCTCTATTTTGCCCCTTAATTGGCAACCATGCCAGGATGAGTTATAAGAAGAGCATATTTCTAAGTGGTAGTGCCCATTATCATGGCTCCACAGACCTTGGTTTGAAGAAAATTAGGCAGACCTAAAAGCAATGAAGTCTGGCTGGGATAAACTGACATCAGGGACCACTGAAATTTGTCTTCTGGAGATCTTCACTTATACCATCACTATGACCTGGGCTGGCAAAGATGGCCAGATGAGGAACATTAAAGAGCTATCCTACAGTGGAGCTTATTATCTGCCATACATTTAAATATATTAATCTAAACCTCACAACATGTGTTACTGTCTCTTTTTTCAGTTGAGGAACTGGATCTCTGAAAGTTGAATCTTCCATATAAACCCAAGGCAGCCTGGTTCTAAAGTCCGCCAGAGCCTCCATGCCACCCCCAGGTAGTGGCAGTAATTTGCTCTGTGTATGGAGACTGCATGGTAGAAAGGGGACACACAGGGACCAAAAATATCATGATTCCTGAAATTATTACAACTATCAGAGTGTTTTTAAAGCAATATGCCCACATAATGCTAAATGTCTTACTTGGATTATCTTGTTAAAACACATCAAACAATACCATTGGGTTTGTATTATTATTAGCCCCATTTTACAAATGAGGAAACAGAGGCTTAAAGAAGTAAACTAATTTCCCAGTATCACAAAGCTAGGAGGTGTCTTTGCTGAGACTCTGAACCAAGAACTGAGTTCCTGCCCTCTACATGCCCCTTTGCGTTTCTGAAGCATCAGGTAAGTTTAATCTTCACTTCTCTAGACCCCACTGTCATTCTTAATATTGGATCCCAACCTAAATTTAAAAGTGAGCTGCTTCCTTAATTGGGGGTAGAGCCTTAACTCAGGCTATAAGTAGGTAAGATCGAGCAGATTATCTGACACAATTGCTTCTAGCACTTAGCACATGCAGGGCCACCCATTAAAAATTGCCAAAGAACAAGTGATCAGCTGTGAGTACATTCCCAAGCAATTGCGAATGGTCCCAGACCAAGACAATTTCTTAGTATTTCCTGTAGAACTTCCTTGGAAGAACTTCAGTGACAATACATATATTTAAAGGAAGTGCAATATTATATCTTCCAAAAACCAAGTCTGACTAATCTTGATCTCAATCCAAGATCAAGATCTAAGATCCTCTGGGTCTAAAAACAAGACTTGCTCTTGGCACTAAGATTAATGAGTCTCTGAATACATGAATTTGACAAATTATTCCTCATTTGAAAGATTAAAAACAAAAATCAACAATCTGCCCAAAAATCACAGAAAGTGGCAATAAATAAAAAGTTCTAGTCTCTTTTGTTATTGTAATGTAACTTTGGTCATGAGTCCATGAAATGGACAGCTATTTTCCATGTCATCCCTGACCTTCACATCTCTACCAATAATTTTTCCCCAACTGTCAAGTAGTTAGGCAACAAAAGAAATCTATACAGGAAAAATTCAGTGTGACCCCATTTTGCCAGCGGGCTGAGACACTGGACCTTGGATGCAATGAAAGGAATTCTGAGACTCCATGAAAAACACTGGTCAAGAAAGAAGCCCTCTAGTCCACAGTTCCCAGCAGGGTCTTAACACAGACTGTGGCGCTATCTTGTCCTTTTGAGATCTCAGATATTTCAGGGGTCACCTACATGGTTGATTTGTTCATGCCTGGGTGGGGGTGGGATGGTGGGCACTGACAGTGGGCTCGTGTCAGAGCCTGTACTGGGAGGTAGTTTTTCATGTCCTACTTCTGGCAACAATAACGTGGCCATATGGCCAAGGCCTGGCCTAGCATAGTATCCCATCTCCCTGGCATTGGGAATGAAAACCTGACCCAACCTTTCTCCTATTCTGGCTGGAAGAGACTAACAGTCACATACCAAAGCATGATTGCAATGATGAAGACTGAGACCGAGAAAGAGAGACACAAAGATGATGGAGATGTCAACATGAGCTTGAGAGAGAGCTGCCTCCATGGAGCCACTGGTTGCAGGCCCTGGAGCTCTATAGTTCTTCTGAACCTGTGAGCCTCTCCAGTATTACTCTGAGTTATATGAAACAACAAATTCCTTTTTGTTGCATAAGCTAGTTTGTATTGGATTTCTGATACTAAAATTCTGCAAAACCTCTAGGGCAGAAAGTAACCTTCTGGTCATAGCCCAAATGAGAATAAACTGCAAAAATCCTGGGCTGAATATGAGAATTCATGGGCTGTTCCATTAACAGGACTCAGTTTTCCTATTTTGATAAGGCTAATTTGAGAGGTTCTTAACCTCTCTTCTATGATCGTTGTAGAGATTAATATCCAAATTAGTTTTTGATGGATGCTGGCTAGCTAGCTCTGAGGTAGTAAAGTATTCAGACACAGAATTGATAAGTTTGCAAAAAAAAAAAAAGAGTAATTAGCAGTGTTAATAACTCATAGAGGAAGGAGCTAAAGTAATAGAAACCAGATCCACAAAATTACAGAACAGTAAGCAAGTACAGACAGTCTCTGACAGACAATGTTTTGACCTATGATTTTTAGACTTTATGATGGTGCGAAAGCGGTATGTATTCATTAGAAACTGTACTTCAGGTTTTGAAGTTTGGTCTTTTCCCAGGCTAGCGACATGCAGTAAGATACTCTCTCCGGCCACATCTCCCAGTCAGCCGTGGAATCACAAAGGTAAACCAATACAGTGTATTGTGTTGCCAGCAGTTTTTGGATATTGTTTTTTTGTGTGTTTTTGCATCTCATCATGTCTACAAAATGCCTGTCTATGTCTCCTACTTCTGGTCAGTAGAAGGTGAGGAAGGCAATTACTTTTGAGAGGAAATTCAAGTTACCCATCTGTAGGCTAATGTAAGTGCTCTGAGCACGTTTAAGGTAGGCTAGGCTTAGCTATGATACTGAGTTTGTTAGGTATAGTAAATGCATTTTCAACTTATAATTACTTTCCACTTACGATGGACTTAACCCCGTTGTAAGTTGATGAACATTCGTATATTGGTCTGAACACAAACAAGCGTCACCAATTCTGGTTAGCTCAAGCCAAAAAGAAATGTTTATGAAGATATTGAGTAGCCTACAGAACTCATGGAAGGGTTGCAAAATAGTTTTAGTACACAGCCTCTAAGATGGCCCAGAGCGCCCTGTCTCCTGGTATTCACGGCCTTGCGTAGTATCCTCCTTTGAGTAACTTGCTTCTAACCAAAAGCATACAGCAACACTGAGGAAATGTCATTTCCATGATTAGATTACAAAAGATTGTGACTTCTGTTGCTGGCAGATTCTCATATTGGCTTTGATGAAGTAGGCTGCTATGCTGGGAAGGCCCATGGGGCAAATAACTGAGGATGGTCTCCAGACAACAGCCAGCACAGAAATGAGGCCCTCACTCCAACAGTCCTCAAGCAACACCATAAGTGAGTTTGAAAGCAGATCTTTCCCACTTGAGCCTCCAGGTAAGACCACAGCCCTGACCAACACACTGCTGCCTCATGAGAGCTCCTGATGGAGAGGACCCAGCTCAGCTGTACCTGGATCCTGCTCCATAAAACCTATGAAAACGTAATGTATGTTGTTTTAAGCTGCTAAATTTGAGGGTAATTTGTTCTGCAGCGATAGGTAATGAATGCAAGCCTAAAGTAGGAACCTTTCCCCCAAGGAAGGAAGGTACAGCTTAAATCTTAGTAAGAGAATAGTTTGACAGAAAGTAGATTCATGTTGCCTGGGGCTAGAGTGGGCAAGGGTAGAGGAAGAAGGGAGCGACTGCTAATGGGTGTAGGGTTTGGGGGATAAAGGGTGATAAAAATGTTCTATAATTGATTTTGGTAATGGTTGCACAATTCCATGACTATACTAAAAACCTATGAACTGTACATTTTAAATAGATGAACTGCATGGTATGAGTTATATAGCTCAATAAAGCAGTTATTAAAAAATTACTGAATTCCTATTAGATTTTTTTATTATGTATTTTTCTTTATGTAAAATAAAATACAGACGTGTCACGAAACAAAAAAGAACAAATCAAGCAAAAGTCAACCACTTGCCTAAGATGCCACCATAGACAGCATCATCCCTGGACACTCATGTCACACCATGGACCCTTGAACCTGCCACAGCTGCCAAGAAAAGTCTCTGTTTGAAGCTACGCCTATGCCTGAATCTCTCAAGACCCAAGATTCCAAAGCAGAAACACCCAATTGCCCATGTTTTGCTCACAAGCCCAAGCTGTAGCTGCCGATAACAGAAAAGGGATAATCCACAGCCCCTTTGGCTTCCAAGGGGGAAAGCAGAGCTTCCCATCTATTTTGAGTCCCCTATTTGGAGACTAACTGTAGTGACCGCCTCTGGACTACACAACCAGAGAACATTCCTGGAGAAATGCTAAGAATCAAAATTTAAAACTCCCTTTATTCTGGACCTGATCAGAGAGAGAGAGATGGACAGCTCCCTTCAAGCCCCATCCCTGAGCTCTAGACAGAGGAAGCAATTGGCAGGGCTCTTTAACCCTTGCTTATTACCTATGTCTCTGTAGCATCGGAATGAAAACTAATGAATAATAATAATAGCTACTGTTGACTGAGAGCTTTCTATTACTTTATATGTCAGGCCATTCTAAGCAC